TTTCTGCTTTTTTTATTCCATAGCATGATGTTTCTGTTCATCTAGTTATTGAACACAGGACTCGGGGGAGGGAGGAGAAAGTTAAAAGAAAAGTAAGGGCTTTTCTTTTTAAGTTGAAATGTATGCCATGATAATCAAAACACTTCTGGAGAAGCCAGCTTAATCCATCCAATCCTTAAAAATTACTTGAAAGTACTTTCCTTCCAGCTGCCGTCAAAAGGCTGCCAATTACAATCCTGCGGAGAAGATGGAATTTCTTCTGATTATGAATGGTGAGTCTGCTTCTTACCGGTAATACAAGATACACATTTGTTTTAATCAAGTTCCAAAAAGAATTCTGAAAGAAGAAATCCTTTTTATATACATGTGGATTTGGCTACAAGTAAAAATGGCTAGTTTGTCTTGATGCTAAGTTGATAAATGCAGAAGTGAATCACCTTTAACCACACAAGGTTAAAAGATTCAAAAACATGGATTCTGTTTAAAGAAAGCACATGTTTGGAATCCTGATATTATTAAAGATCTTCCAGCTCATACTACGGAGGCTCAATGCATTCATTAGCCAGTAGTCTTCATTTTTTCCAGATGCAGAACCTTCAACTCCAATATAGGTTTTATTATGTGAGGTGGGGGTCGGGGGAGGTTTTGCCAGATGTTAGTTTTTCCTCTCCCTTATCTTTCTCCCTTAGTTCTTATTTCTTTCTCTCTCTCTTTTTTCTACTTTCTTCCTCTCGCCCATCTTTATTCATTATTCATATATTTAGTGTGTTGCAGAAGAAAAAAGGAGCCTTACCAGTAATTATTTAAGTTATTTTAGTGATTAATATTTTTATGTATTACATTATTTCTATAGCACAACTTTAAAGAAAACCTGAAAGCAGTTTTCAATAACCATTCAATAATATATATGACAATGTTTCTTGTTATAAATTTTGATTTTCTGATTGATTTCTTTTTTTAAAGAATTTTTTAAAGAAGAGAATCCAACATGAAAATTGAAGATTATTTTCAAAATGCAATGCTATTGTAAAACACATTTGCCTTGTAAGCAGTATTTTGCTACAGTATGCTAGAATTGTTAATTGATGGACTTTCTTACAAATGTTTCTTTGTTTTCATTTATCTTTTGGTCTACAGACAGCCTCAGAAATACAGCTTCAGGTTTGCCTGGTTCTCCTTATTATAGAATGTAATTATTTTAATGAATAACATTAAACCAGATACATATTTGCGCTAAACAGAATTTTGGGAGAATATTTGATCCATTTGTTTTCCTCATGATGACACAGCAATCTTCCCTTTCTCTGTTTCTAAAGGCTGTTAAAAATGTTACCTAATTAAAAAAAAGTCAGTTATTCTTCAAACAAACAAAAACCCTTTTAAATACTTCAGTATGTTATTCAAGCAATTGGAATTGGACTTCCATTAATCCTATGGTTTTAACTGATTCAATTCATTGGTCAGCAACTGAAGCTCTAACAGTAGATTAAAATATATTGGTAATTCCTTCCCAAAATTTTATGTGGAAATAAGATAACAAGAAAAACCTCTATGGAATCTCCAAAAAATACCAACTTTCTTTTCCCTATTCCATACTGGATTAAAGAGAAATTTAAAGAACTGTAAATATCAGCATAGCCAAATGGAGACAAGGGATAAGAGCTGGGTGGGGGTGAGGATCAAGATTGCCTTGTCTTGAGTCTACTTATAGTAAAAAAAAGAAAGATGGAATCTTTACCAAGACTTCAAAATTATGCATTATATCCTATAACAATAAAGTAGAGCTCCAATAGTACATGTGATATCTGTTTTCTGACCTGGCCTACCTTAAAAGGTAGACGAAACCTCAGGTGGAGGTTGTCTTCCTATGGATTAAGGGCAGTCTAAAGGCAATGTTGTCTGTTCTTTCACTGCCAAAAATGAAATATGAACTGTACTGTGCAAGCGTTCCTAAATTGAAAATTATAATTTCTTTCCATGGTTAATGAATGAGAACGTGACAAAAGGAAGCATTTGCAAGACATGCCAATTTTCTCCTCTTTGTACTACCCTGGATGAACAAGAAAGTTAAAAGATCTTCCCCAGTTTGGAATCAGACTAAAAGATATGCCATACTTCTGTTTCACATTTAAAGATCCTATTTTGGCTTTGCAATAATTAACAGCATTTGCTTATACTGACAATCAGCAATCAAAATACTTTAGAGGGGCAATGCCATGAACCACGGCTTCCACAACTTGTAGCCAATGCAGTATGTGATCTCAGAATAGAAGAGAAGAGAAGAGAAGCTGGAAGGGACTTTGGAGGTCTTCTAGTCCAGTTCCCTGCTCAAGCAGCAGAACCTATAGCATTTCAGATGTCTAGTGACCTTTTTAAAAACCTTGAGTGATGGAGCCCATGATTTCTGAAGACAAGCTGTTCCATCGGTTTATTGTCTTTACTGTTAGGAAGTTTCTCATTAGTTCCAGGTTGCTTCTCTCTTTGATTAGTTTCCAACTATTGTTTCTTGCCTGCTCTCTGGTGCTTTGAAGAATAATTTAACCCCCTCTTCTTTGTGGCAGCTCCTCAAATACTGAAATACTGCTATCATGTCAACCCTAATTCTTCTTTCTTTAGATTAGCGAAAGCCAAATCCTGCAGCTGTTCTTCATATGTTTTAGTCTCCAAGCCTTTGATCGTCTTAGTTGCTCTTCTCTGAACTTTTTCCAAAGTCTCAACATCTTTTTTGTAGTATGGTGACCAAAATTGGGGCAGTATTCCAGGTGTGCTCTTACTAGGGTATTATAAAGTGGTACTAATACTTCACGTGATCTTGATTCTATGCCTCTGTTTGTACAACCAAGGATTGTGTTAGCTTTTTCTCTGGGAAGCCTTGCAGACTAAACTTTGGGGATCCAGCATGCTATTTTGGCTGGAATGCTCTCTAACCATCTTACTTCACAAATCAGTTAGTCATACAGCCCAATGGTGGGTTGCAAATATTTTTACTACCGGTTTGGGCTCGCACGCAATGCTTCTGCACATGCGCAGAAGCTTCTGTGCAAACACAGAAGTGTCTGGAAGGGTGGGCGGGGCCTCCCTCCGCCGTTACTACCGGTTTGCCTGAACCGGGCTGAATTGGGAGCAGCCCACCACTGGGTACAGTCCCATATAAATATAAAGAGCCAAGGTGGCGCAGTGGTTAAATGCAGCACTGCAGGCTACTGCTAGATCAGCAGTTCAGCGGTTCAAATCTCACCGGCTCAGGGTTGACTCAGCCTTCCATCCTTCCGAGGTGGGTAAAATGAGGACCCAGATTGTTGGGGGCAATATGCTGACTCTCTGTAAACCGCTTAGAGAGGCCTGAAAGGCCTATGAAGCGGTATATAAGTCTACTGCTATTGCTATTGCTAAATCAAGAACTCAAAACTACTCTTCAAATTAGTGACTCATGAACATGCCTCTATCCTTAATTGCTTTAATATCTGTGAATATAAAAGATCTTCACTTATAATTACAATCAATATCTGTCTTTGCAACTAAGAATCAGATGAATAGCTATTTATTTGTTTTAGTTGTGTGACCCTCGACTCCAAACAATTTGGATGGCTCACAATATCCTAAACAATACAAATACAAATACAGAACAGGAAAGAAAAAAACTCACATCAGAGCAGAAAAAAGAGAAAAAGAACAAGATGGTAAATATTCCAAACATTTTCATCTAACATTCAACACAGGGGGCTTCAGCCACTATAGTCCAAGAACAGCCAGCTCTTAATGGACTTCCCTTATTTGTACTATAGCCTGATCACCAAAGTATTTAAGCCACAGGTTACCAATGTAGGCCCCACGGCATATATGGCTTATTAAAATGACAAAACCATATGTCAATACAATAAAATAAAAACCATTCAATCAATGACTGAAAATTTGCAAGAGTGAAAAATCGAATCCGCGTTTGGTATTCCCATCAAAGTCATCTAATCAGGCATGTGCCAGTTATGTAGTAAGCAACCACCTACAGCATCTTTGGCCAGGTTACACTGGTTTAAATTAAATTACCTGGAAGCAACTAGGTTGGACTTAAAGGTTGCTTTATGTTTTATATTGGTTTATAGTTCCTTACAATAGCACAAGTGTAAATGACACGGATAGCAGCTTAGGAAAAAATTGCTTGCCAAAAGAACATTTTAATAAATGCTTTATCTAAAGTAATGGGCACAAGGCAAATATGAAAACAAAAAGACTTAGCAAAGCATCTGGAGAGAGTTAATACAGTATATACTATTGTAAGACACTACTTTCTAAGCCTCATCTCTAAATAGATTTCTGCAGAAGCAAGATCAATTTAGAAGGCCAATATGGATTTGCTCCAACCACCTACTCTGAGATGATAATGTTTATACTATTGTCATAACAGCTGAAAGTTTGATCCAAACTGGACTCAGATTAAAAGAATCTTAAATAAAATCTTTCCTCGTTTATAGCCTTCATTTATTTTTCCTAAGTCTGCAGAAGTCTTTGCTCCACAGATTCTCTATTCGGAGACTCATCCAAGTTCATTCAGCATGAAGCAAAGTCACAATACTACTGGATTTTCCTATACATATGGAGAGTGTAGAAGTGATTGTACACCTATCAATGTAAAACAATGGCTGGAAGTTTGGATTCTATATGATTTCTATGGTGGTGACAATGTTGTTACATGGCTTTGTTACACTGGAGATGAATTCTTTTTTGAAGGAGGAATGAGGAAGGAAACTGCTACTTGAATATACAGTATGCATAGTGACATCAAGATTTTGTTGTAGCTTCTTGGCCTGAAGTTCCCTGAGAAACTAATCTCCAATGGTACAAACACTTTAACCAGTGCCTCTATGTCAAATATCTTTGTTCATGAAGATACCTTAACTATGTCATCCAAAGAGATACATTGGAAAAGTAGTTATTGTAGAAAAATCTCCTGGTATTAAAACTGCTTTTAAGAAAACGTAAATGGTATAAATGATGTCACTAACCTTCATATATGGTGATGATATGAGGATGGCTGAGAGATGACATAATCTCAATCTCCCGTCTGATGTGAACCATATCTTGTTCATCCTTAATTTTGTCCTTACGGATGGATTTTATTGCAACCTATAAATTCAGGAAATCGATCATTACTCTTAAAATAAAGTAATAAAAGTAATCTATAAGGAGAGTTCAGAAAATAAATATAGATGGTTGATGCTGATAAAAAATGGAGTGAGCAAAATAATATATATATAT